TTGAAGCTCATTGAAGGAAGTAATAAAGGTATCTTTTTACTTTTAAAGGTTAATTTCTTGTAAAAAATTCTTTTATTTCAAAAATAATTTACTTTTTGTCGTCAAAAAAGGCCTACTTTGCGCCAAATTTTTTGTGCAACTCGCAAAACTCTTCTAAGTGTGCTAATCTTTATGATTTTTGTGTCATTTTGTTGCACTTATTGAGATCTATAAAATGAAATCAAAATCATAAAGATTGATCCATTTAGAAGAAAGTTATGACGAGTTGTGCAAAAGATCCAGTTGCGAAAGTTGCGGAAACTAGTCTACCCGAGAAATGAAGCAATGCTGAAATTGGAATGCTCAAAGGGTAATTGTGGCACCGAAAGTCAGTCAAGATCTTGCATTAAAATTTACTTTAGATAAGCTCAAAGTCAGACAGAGGACAAGAGTTTATCAGGCAAAATTTCTGGCTAACTATCTGAAAAGATTGATTGAAAAAGAATTCCTGTCTAATTTGAAGAAATTGATTTCTCACTTTTCATTTGGTATTTGTAAAGATTTTTTGTTGGATCTGATGAGTTTTCTTTTGGCAAAAAAGGTTTAATGCAAATTATTTGAAGTCAAAACTTTCTACAACTTTTCCCCGTTTATCTTTCAATCTGCTTACAAGGGAATGCCAACTAAGTAACGTTTTCTCATTGCAAAAAAGCTTTATTTGCAAGTAATAATGATAGCCTTTTCTTCTCTTAAAGGCTAAATCACATAAAAATTCTTGTATTTTTAAAGATACTTTACTTTTTTATCGTTAAAAAAGGTGGGTTTACGCTAAATTTTTCTGAGCAACTGGATCTTTTGCGCAACTCATCATAACTTTCATCTAAATGAGTCAATCTTTATAATTTTATTGTCATTTTGTAGATCTCAACAAGTGCAACAAAATGACACAAAAATCATAAAGATTAGCGCACTTAGAAGAGTTTTGCGAGTTGAGCAAAAAAATTTGGCGCAAAGTACAGTCGAACCTCTCTATAACGAACCTCGATATAACGTAAACCTCTCTATAACGTAAGGCGTGACCGGTCCCGGCCGACGTTAAGCTATATAAAACGGCACTCTATATAACGTAAACCTCTATATAACGTAAACTATAGCCGTCCCGTGAGTCACGTTATAGAGAGGTTCGACTGTAGTTCCTTTTTTGACGACAAAAAGTCAAGTATCTTTGAAATAAAAGAATTTTTGACAAGAACTTAACCTTTAAAAGTAAAAAGATACCTTTATTACTTCCTTCAATGAGTTTCAATGAGCTTCAATAAGCAAATAAAGCTTCCTTCAATGAGAAAACGTTACCTAGTTGGCATTCTCTTGTAAGCAGATTAAAAGTCATTCCCCCCAAAAAATTCTTGTCAAATGAAGTATCATTTTAGTAAAGAATCAAAGTTAAATACACAAATATAAAGAAATTTAATTTAAAATTCAATAAATGAAGATGAAGATGAAGATGAAAAATTTTAGATGAGAACAAAGTGATAAAGTGATGAACGCTGCACAAAGAGGATCACTTCTAGAATTTGTTGGCTTTGAGGAGGTACAAGTTTTTTTGACTTCTTTCAAATTCTAGCTTACAATTAGTCAGATGTTTTTGTTTTTATTGAAAAAAAACGTTTTCAGAAGCTCATCAGCTATCGGTGATCCCCGAAATGTTTGTTGACTTCGTTCAAATTCTAGAATATATACCAAAAATTCAATAAATGAAGATAAAGATGAAAAATTTTAGATGAGAAATCAAAAAGAACAAAGTGATAGAAATGACGTGAAAAGAAGAAAGAAAAAGAGATGGGAAAAGAAAGAAAAAAAATGCAAATGAGTGAAAATTCCCGGGAGAACTCGAAAAATTGTGACCGAGACTCGGAAGGGTGATGGACTGAGAGATTTCATCCATTCCTTCAACTTTACTATGCCAAAAGTCATCGAATTTGGGAAAGAATAGGTGCTAATCTTTCTAAAACAACCGTAATTTTATTCGCTTTGGTTTTTCAATAAGAATTCAATAAGAATTCAATCAGAATTCAATAAGAATTCAATCAGAATTCAATAGGAATGTTTAAGAATACAATAGTAGATTGGATCTAAACTAGAGATAAGATTACGATAACTTTTGAAAGTTATTGTAATCTTATCTCTAGGAATTATGGAAAATGGTTTGATCAAGAGGAAAAAGGGCAAAAGTTGGAGTGCTTTTGTGTTCTTTATCTCTGTTTTACTCTCCGACTACACTAACTATTAGATTGGCTCAGTCTTTAGACACTTTTTTCTTTCTACTAGTGTTTATATATGACAAATTCATCAATTGATCTACAATTGGCTTCATTAAAAAAAGCCTACAATTTTCCTAGAAAAAAAACATTCAAATCTTATGAAAATATTTTGTCTATGGTTTTTTTATGGGCACGCGAAGTCGGGTATTCCAAAAAGGTGCAATTTATTGGTCAATTTACGCAATTTAGTTCACAGAAACCTATTGCTATCAATAGATAAAAGATAGAGCGCAAAAAGTTTGGTATATAGCCGAATTTTCAGAATAATCTTTTCAGCCTAATTCTCTCTAATAGTAGTGCACCCTATCGAGCCGAGTTGGCGACTATTTTACGGTTTCCAAGCTTTTGCAGAAGCTCAACACTCAAATCCCCGGCTAGATCTCATCGTCAGCTATATTTTCCGACCCCACATCGATAGGTTCTGATAAGCGGTTCTCGAGATTTCGAGGAATTTAGGCGACGCTCAGGGTGCTATTAGGGAATTTATATAATAAAGAGTTGAATCTCAGTTTTGAGATAATTAGAATGGATAGCTAATGCCGTATTCTTTGCATCCCACCGAGCCGAGTTGATGACTATTTACGGCTTCCAAAGCTTTCGCAGAAGCTCAACACTCAAATCCCCGGCTAGATCTCATCGTCAGCTACATTTTCCGACCCCACATCGATAGGTTCTGATAAGCGGTTCTCGAGATTTCGATCAATTTAGACAAAGCTCAGGGTTCACTACTATTAGAGAAAATACGGTAATATAAATATAAATAAAGTGTTCGGCTAAAAATCTTAAGTCTATTTAAGTTCTGTTCTGTTCAGCCGATTTCTTTCTAAAGCTTTTTTTATCGAATTTTATGAAAAACTAGTTTTTACACTCAAATTTGTTTTGAAAAGGACATAAATTATCTTAAAAAGATAGAAAAATGAATATGTATAATAAAAATCTTCTTTTTAGAATCAATTGTAGGTGAATTGGTGAATTTATCATTGATAAATGCTAGTAGAAAAAAGAAATGTCTAAAGACTTATCAGTCAAGCTAATATTAGCCAGTTTCTAGGTTTTATCCAATCCAATCTATTTGATATGTTACGTCCGAATCTGAGGAGACGTCCATCTCCGATCCGGACGTCCGAATCTGAGGAGATTCATTCTCCTCTGAAACGGACGTCCGAATCTGAGGAGATTCATTCTCCTCTGAAACGGACGTCCGACTCAGAGATGGACGTCCGACTCTGAGTCGGACGTCCGTTTCGGAGAAGAATGATCATTCTTCTCGGAATCGGACGTCCGATCTTGAGAACAAATAGTTTAAATGCAAAATCCAATGTTTTGAACAAAACACATGTATTCAGATTCAAATTTTCCTTTTTCTTTCAAATTCAGAGGTAAAATTGATGATCGGACGTCCGATTCCGAGAAGAATGATCATTCTCCTCCGAAACGGACGTCCGACTCAGAGTCGGACGTCCATCTCTGAGTCGGACGTCCGTTTCAGAGGAGAATGAATCTCCTCAGATTCGGACGTCCGGATCGGAGATGGACGTCTCCTCAGATTCGGACGTAACAGATAGACTTAGCGTTAAACCAAGCTTACTATTAAGTTGGAAAGAAAGTTCTCGAAAAAAGTTTGACTAGAATTTCTTAAAAACGAATCCACCAAGTCAAGAACATTTTCTTCTATTATTTACGACTTATAAATAATAGAAGAAAATGTTCTTGAATTGGTGGACTCCAAGAAATTACTCGTAAAAAAATGAGTGCAGTTTTCTCTTAAAATTTTAGAGATTTTTGAAACATTATTATTTTCCAGCCAAAAATTCAGCTCACTTTTTGCACGAGAAAAGCGATTTCTTATTAGGTAAAGCTAGCATAAAATAAAGTATAGCTCAAATGATGAGCTATACTTTATTCATTAAAGTATAGCTCATCAACAAAAATTCAATGAAGTAAACGAAAAATATCAATAGATTTAAATGTATTTGTCTTGAGAAAGTTGGAAACAACAAAGCTTCCTTTTTGAAAAGAAAGAAAGCTTTAAAAGAAATCATCAATGGCTTCATTTGAGTTAAAAACTTTAAAAGAGAGGAATTTGTGTTACTGTTTCTGAAGTTTTACAACAGAATTTAGCATTGAACTTTTAAAAAAAATGTTTCTAGGAAATTGATTGATTGAAATTGATTTTTTTTGGTTTTGAAGAAGGTTAGATTGGTTGAAATAAAACGGAATTAGCTTTAAGAAATCACCGATAACTTCAATCTTAAATCCAACACTTTTGAGGGGGATTTGTGTTAAGAGTTTTGGGAATTTATGATTCGAAAATTCAATCAAGAAATTTATCTTTCTGAAAAGTTTACTGAGATCTTTTGAAATCAGTTGTGGCATTAAAATTTGACGAAATTTTCAGGGAGTAATCTTGAGGAAAATGCCAGTAAAGTTAAAGTTAAAGTTAATTTAAAGTTAAATAAAGTTAAATAAAAGAAAATTTGTTTAGAAAAGACTTTTTAAAAAGGTTTATAAGAGAATTTTGTTTCAAAGAGAGTAAAAAAGAAAGTCAATAGAACAATAAAAAATAAACATATTAAAAAGATATTCAATATAGAATAAAAAGAAAAATATGGCCAAATAATAAATAAAAAGAAAGAAAAGAATAAAAATTATTGAATGGAAAAGAAGAAAACATATAAATTCTCATTTTTCTTTACTAACCTGTGGTGATGGGGTTCGATGTGCGGGAGCTGGTTGGGAAATATCCGCCACCGCATCTTTCGCCACTGCTTGTAGCTGTTCACTGGCTGCTTTTGCCTAGAAATTTTCGATATTTTATACATATTCATTTTTCTATCTTTTTAAGACAATTTATGTCTTTTTCAAAGGAAATTCGAGTGTAAAAAAACTCGTTTTTCATAAAATTCGTTAAAAAAAGCTTTAGAAAGAAATCGGCTGAACAGAACAGAACTTAAATACACTTAAGATTTTTAGCCAAACACTTTATTTATCTACATTACCGTATTCTCTCTAATAGTAGTGAACAATAAGCTTTGTCTAAATTGCTTGAAATCTCGAGAACCGCTTATCAGATCCTATCGATGTGGGGTCGGAAAATGTAGCTGACGATATCAATAATTTATCAGGTATTAAAAGATGAAATCGACTTTTCAGGCCACCTTAAGAGAACTAAAGCTCAGGCTCAGATGGCATTAGAAAGTTGATTATTCAAAAGATGCTATCGATTTGTTCGTCTAGTCTCTAACTAGTGTCACTCTAAAGGCTAATGCGTTTTCTAAAGTCTTTCAACTTTCAATGACTAGTGATCTTTATCTAGTTTACCGTATTCTCTCTAATAGTAGTGCATCCAGAGCTTTGTCTAAATTGATCGAAATCTCGAGAACCGCTTATCAGAACCTATCGATGTGGCGTCGGAAAATGTAGCTGACAATGAGATCTAGTGAGGGATTAGAGTGTTGAACTTCTGAGAAAACTTGGAAACCGTAAAATAGTCATCAACTCGGCTCGCCGGAGTGCACTACTATTAGAGAAAATACGGTATATCGTTAATTTTTTTATGGGAGAGTTTTTCCTTTTTGTACATATGGACTACGTGGTGCGCCATTCCATTTTTTTTCCTTCTTTACTTTAAAAAGACACCAATCCTTTAATTCTATTGTTAATTCTCTAAAAAATGACTCAAATTATCGTTACTCGAAATGTCAGTTTTCTAGAAGACACCAATTTCTATCATAAGTCTACCAAAGATCGCTTTTTCTCTTCTCTTCTATAAATTGAACCAATTTCTTACTCCAAATACCGTATTTTCTCTAATAGTAGTGAACCCTGAGCTTTGTCTAAATTGATCGAAATCTCGAGAACCGCTTATCAGAAGCTATCGATGTGGGGTCGGAAAATGTAGCTGACGATGAGATCTAGCCGGGGATTTGAGTGTTGAGCTTCTGTAAAAGCTTGGAAACCGTAAAATAGTCGCCAACTCGGCTCGATGGAATGCAAGGAATACGGCATTAGCTATCCATTCTAATTATCTCAAAACTGAGCTTGAACTCTTTATTATATAACTTTGACTAGGCACTACTATTAGAGAAAGTACGGTATATGTTGTTTGACTTTAGATCTCAACTAGCAGAATTGGAGTTGATAAGCTAGATTAGCTAGAAATTTAGTTCGAAAATTCAAAACTCTATGAATCTCTTGAACTACATTTCAACTTTCTATTAAAAGAACTTTAAAAAATATTCTAATTTATGATTGTTTTAAAGTTAAAACTGGCAAATGAAAGGTAAATGAGTTACTTTAGAAAACATTTTTTAAAAACTGGATCTAAACTACGCAAGACAGGAGTACGAGTTCGGATGACATGTTCGGATGTTCGGAGACAGGAGTACAAGCTATGATAAGTCTAATTTCTGGTTCTTAAGATATAATGTTACCATAATTAGATTCAGCTTCAACGAAAAATGAATTTCTTGACTCCAACCTTTCCAATCGCACTACTCGCCAATCCGCCGAGTGCTCCGAGCTTTCCAAATCCGAATCCTCCACTTGATTGTGTCTTTCCTCCATCACTTTTTCTTCCAAACATTCCCTGCCCGGATCCCACAAAGGAGGATCCGGTCAGAAGACCCGCCGATGATTGGCCTGAAAATTACAGATTAAGTAGATGAGAAATCTATCAATCACTTAAACAAAAAGAAAATTTGTATTTACTGCATTTACTGATCAGCATTTAACAAGTTAAATACAAATTTGAAAAGGATTTGGTTTAAATTTTGAATAAAACTAGTTTAAGTCAATGTTTGCTAGCAAGTGAAGACGAATCACTAGTAAGCATTGGCTTCACTAGTAAGCATTAGCTTCACTAGTAAGCATTAGCTTCACTAGTAAGCATTAGCTTCACTAGTAAGCATTAGCTCTAGCATTACCTCTAGTTTGCCAAGCAGCTATTTGTTAGACGTCAAAATAGAATTATCGATTAATAATTTAAATTAAAATTTTATCTATACTTTATAAAATTGAAAACAAAAGTCAAAAAACAACAGTTTTCAAAATGGCAACAAAATTCCCATCTCTGGAATAGAAATGAAATGAAAAAGAAGAAATTACTGAAAAATGGAGCCCCGTTCCGAGAGAGGAAAAAAGAAAATAATTGGGAGAACAAGGGAAGACTTTCAAATATTATTCCTGAAACAGAAATGAATTAGAAAAACTTATAATTAACTTTATAATGTTTAAAAGTTTTCAAAAGAGGACAAAAGTTTTTTTATTTAATTGAAAAGTGTATTTAGCTTTCAAAATCAAAGCTTAAAAGCTAAAAAGTGAGGAAAATGTTTTTCAAAGCTTTTATTAAGATTGTTTGTTTGTTTTTTTTGAATTGTTTGAAATTCTGAAAGTTCCTGGAAGTTCTGAGAGAGGAAAAAAGAAAATAATTGGGAGAAGACTTTCAAATATTGTTCCTGAAACAGAAATGAATTAGAAAAACTTATAATTAGCTTTATAATGTTTAAAAGTTTTCAAAAGAGAACAAAAGCTTTTTTTATTTAGTTGAAAATTGTATTCAGCTTTTAAAATCAAAGCTTAAAGGTTAAAAAGTGAGGAAAATGTTTTTCAAAGTTTTTATGAAGATTGTTTGTTTGTTTTTTTGAATTGTTTGTGCAAAAGTTGTTAAGATTTAGTTTTAAAAGCTTTAAATATTGGTTTAGGCTAGGCTTAGGCTAGGCTTAGGCTAGGCTTAGGCTAGGCTTAGGCTAGGCTTAGGCTAGGCTTAGGCTAGGCTTAGGCTAGGCTTAGGCTAGGCTTAGGCTAGGCTTAGGCTAGGCTTAGGCTAGGCTTAGGCTAGGCTTAGGCTAGGCTTAGGCTAGGCTTAGGCTAGGCTTAGGCTAGGCTTAGGCTATCTTAGTAGTAATTTCAATTTAACACACTCGCAACAATGACATTTTGAGCCTCATAAGTCTCATAATCGTTAACTATTTTACTGATAATTTTCTGTAAATTCAAAGATAAATGAAACGATAAATGAAATGATAAATGAAAATGAAAAGATAAATTTCTATTATAGTCATTCGATAGCCCTGAATCTCCTTTTGAAAACTAGTTCAAAGTTATCGAGAGCTTTCTACAAAATGAATAAGAAAAGTTTGCAAAATGAATAACAAAGGTTCGTAAAAACTTGAGTTGATACTAAAAATCATTGTGGTACTTTAGCGTTATACTTCCATTAAAAGAACCCATGTTTCATTTGCATTATATCGCTATAAAATTTGATTGCATTATTTGCATTATATCCTAAAAATTTTAAGTTTTAGAAACGAACATAAAAACACGTAAAATGATAATGTATTTGAATGGATTTTCAATGAAATTTTGCTTGAAATTGTGATTTTCAATGAAAGTTCTCGATAACTTTGAACTGGTTTTCAAAAGGAGATGCTTCGATGCGCTTTAAAAAGTACAAAATTAAATCCTGATTTCTAACGGTCATTAGAAAAATACTAAAGAGAAATTGACAAAGAAATTGAGAAAGAAAGAACAAAGACAAAAATAAACAAAAAAAATCTCTAAATTGTGCATCTATATTCTAATGGGAGAAGAAAAAGGGAGAGTAGTGGCTGTTGGTTGGATGTGAAAAGCAAAAGGAGAGGTAAAGAAGGGAAAAGGAATGGAAAGGAAGAGAATCGAAACATTGAAGACTGAGAAAAAGAGAGTAGAAGGGGTAGAAGAGGGGAAAGAAAGGGGACAGGGGAGAAGCTGGGGATCGATGGGACTCTGAGGGTCCCCCTGGGCCCTTCTTCTCATCCCTGCCCCACCTCAGCTTCTTTCTCTTGCATTCCCTAGTCTCCACGTGCCCCGATGGCCAACTGAAACCAATAAGTGCCCATCGGCTCGATTGAGGGTGAAAGAGCTCTCTTTGCCTATTTATCCCCATAGGGCTTTTCTCTTCTTTTTCTTCTTCTACTAGGTACTCAATCTCTTCAACAACTCATTTTTGGAAGGCTTGAAAAAAAGAGAAAGTTGAGATTTTTTAAGAGATAAGAGAGCCATTCTTAATCTCAACTAGTGAGCTTAGGAATGGCCTGAAGAAGAACGAAAACGTATTTGAATGGATTTTCAATGAAATTGTGCTGCGATGCGCTTCAGAAAGTACAGAAAGTTGTAGGATTGAATTATTCTGATCTTGAAAGTGTTGTAAGATTGATTTATTTACAAAAAATCAGCTTTAGACAAAAGAGAACTAGTTTAGCTAATGAATTTGATTGCTTAATCCTTGATTTGACTTGATTTGATTGCTTAATCCTTATGATTTATATTTGAAATTGTACTTGAAACTTATTTGTACAGGTTTAAATTTGAAATAACTGAGAAGAATTGGTTTTTGGCTTAGTTTTTGTGATATCACCGTATAAACGGTGATATCACAAACTTTTTCAACGAACTTTCTTTCCAACCTAATAATTTCAAATTCATTTTCCCAAGAAAACGATGAGAAAAGCTTAAATTTTTTACTTTTCTGAACACTCAAATTCGTGGCGAATGTAAATGTGATCGTTGCATCGAAGGAAAAGCCAAGTGGACCAATCTTTGAAAGCCTGTTAGCAAATATTGGAAGGAAATTTTTAAGAAGTTATTGAGAAAACAATTTTGTTGCACTTGCAACTGCAACTGCAACAAAATCCAAACCAAAAAGTGTTGTAAGATTGAAAAATCAGCTCCAGAAAAAAGAAAACTAGTTTAGCTAATAAATTTGATTGCTTAATCCTTGCTTTGACTTGATTTGATTGCTTAATCCTTATGATTTATATTTGAAATTGTACTTGAAACTTATTTGTACAGGTTAGATTTAAAAAAAGTTTAGTTAAGCTCAGAAATTTCTACTTTCTATAGAAACTCTACAGAAATACGGATACTTTGTAGATCGATATTCCGGTATTTTTCCAACAAAATCTTCAGCTTTACAAAGCGTTTAAAGTTTTGAATAAAACAACAAAAAATAAAGCTAAATTAGATTTGGATAAAGCTACAAAATCAGTATTTAAGTTTTCTGCATAATGGCAAAAAAAAGTAGCAGAGAAACGCGTGAGAAAATGGCAGAAAATGAGAGAATTATGATAGTACATCTAATTCTAGCAATCAACATCTTTTCCTTCTCTCATAATCACTTTTCTAAAGCTATCAAACGTTGCATTTTTTTAATTTCTTATTAAAAAATAGATAATGGACTTTAGTGACTTTGAAATTTTGGCAGAAAATTGGTTTTTGACAAATCGAGCGCAAGAAAAGGTGAGCGAGAACGGAAGTGTGAAATTTCAGAACCAAAAACTTTTGAAAAAAAATGGCAAATCAAATTTGAAACAATTTAAAACATCTATTTTATTGTTCTTTTTTTATTTTCTTTAGTAAACGCGTGAGAAAATGAGACGAAAAATAGAATAAATGATACCAAAAATGGAAGAAGAAGAAAGAGAAAGAGCAAGAGCAAGAGCAAGAGAAAGAGAAAGAGAAAGAAAGAGAGGAGCAGAAAGAAAATGAGAAATCTGATCACCACCTTTCTACGAATCTTAAAAAAAAGAATAAAAGAAATGTAATGTACAAAAGAACGAGACTTTTAGAAAGAAATTTAGGATTTAAAGATATTACTTTAAATATTTTATTACTTATAAAACATTTTATAAATTATAATTACAAATATAGTTGTAGTGGTTTTAGGCTTTTGATTGAATAGCTTTAAGTTGAGTAGTAAGTTGAATAGCTTAAAGTTGATTGGCTTAAAGTTGAATAGCTTAAAGTTGAATGGCTTAAAGTTGAATAGCTTAAAGTTGAATCGCTTAAAGTTGAATAGCTTAAAGTTGAATAGCTTAAAGTTGAATAGCTTAAAGTTGAATAGCTTAAAGTTGAATGGCTTAAAGTTGAATGGCTTAAAGTTGAATGGCTTAAAGTTGAATGGCTTTAAGTTTAATGGCTTTAAGTTGAATAGTAAGTTGAATGGCTTTAAGTTGAATAGCTTAAAGTTGAATGGCTTAAAGTTGAATGGCTTAAAGTTGAATGGCTTTAAGTTTAATAGATTTCAGTTGATTAGTTTTAATTAAATAGTTACAATGAAAATCTAAAGTTTTAGTGAATTCGCAGATCATTTTCACTGAAAAATTACATTTCCCTATTTTTAGATGATTTCATTAGAGTATACAAACCCCCGTTTTTGCTCTTTTTCCTGAAATTTTTCACTCCCAAATTTGCTCGCCTTCAAAATCGGGTTACCTATGAGAAAAGGGTTGAAGTCGTAAGAAAAAAAAAATCACAAATTTTCACAGCCGGGCATCGATTGAAGAAAGGATTTTTTTTTAGAGTAAAAAAAGAAAAGAAAAAAGGAAAAGAAAGAGATTGTTTTGGTATGAGAACAAACCTTGAATTTCTTGAATTGGATGAATTTCATGGCTTTCCTGCGTTGGAGTCGGCGTTTGCACGTCGGCATTGTCTTCGCCTTCTGGAAATGAAAAAAAAATGAGTTTCACATTGATATACTTAATAAAATGAATAGTTTAAATGAATTCCCGACGGCGAGAATCTTTGGGTACAACTTTAGAACTCAATATCCTTTTTGTATCATTTATAAAGGTTTTCGGATGAATTTTTTCCGTAAATTTAGCTTTATTTGCTATATATTTTCTATATTTCTTTGTTTTTTTTACCATTTTTAGTTTTCTTTTTTAGAATTTAAAATTTAATTTGATCTTTTTGACTACTTCATTTCATTTAAAATGATTTCAATTTTAGATTTCACCTGTTACATCGTCTTCCGCCAATTCGGCCTCTTCATCAGCCATTGATTCCTAGAAGTATAAATATTGGGTTGGGGAGAATGAGTCGGCGCCGAAAATGAAAAAAATGTCTAAAACTTCTATTCAACTTCGTCAAATAATATGCGTTTGATACTCATAGAATGGTTAACTAATTCTCTACAAAATCACATTTAAAACAAAATTCAAACAGCGCCTCCGCTCAAGAAAAAGCCATTTTTTCACAAAAACTACAAACTGTGATCTAGAAAAAACCATTGGTGGGATCTTCCTGCAAATTCGGCAACTTAAGTAATTCAATGTGCTCTATCTTTTTTATAGAAACACCAAAGAAGGTTTATGTGAAAGAAACTGTTCAAATGATGAGTCGGACTCTTTGCCATTTTAACCAGCTGCGTTTCGAAGTTCATAAACTCCACGAAAGAAAAGCTTTGTGGAATCTCTCAAAAGTGATTTTGTAGAGAAATAGTGGATCCTTTTGATGAAACCAAACGTATGTTTAAAGAAGGCTTTATGTGTGCAAAAAGTCCCTTTAAAGTTGGGCGCCGACTCATTCTCCCCAACCCAATAAATCTAATATTTAATTGAGAAAGAATTATTTTAATGAAATAAAGAATCTTTTGATGTACTGGAAAAGTACATCAAAAAGTACTTTCTGGTGCACTAAATTTTCAATTTTCTTCCAGAAACGATCAGTGTTACGAGAAAAATGAAGAAAAATTCAAAAGAAATGATGTTTTTCCATTTGAGCACAAAGTCATGCTCAGAATAATGCTTTTATCAAAAGCAGTTATGGGAAACGGAAAAGACAGTGCACCAAAAATTTCTGTCTTTCGATTTCTGAGCAATTTTTGCAGCAATTTTGTGCAGCAATTCAACTCACTTTCATGAACGAGAGCTGCTCCTCATACCAATTATGCACGTGTGGCGAACGGATGATCTCGGAAACCGATTTAATGCTGAATGCAGAGGATTGTCGTGACATGGCAGAAGAACGACGATCCGATTGCGATTCCCGAGAGTCATATTCAGCTGAAAGAAGATATTTTGACTAATTCAACAATACTAGAAAAACTATAGAGCACTAAAAGTGATGCTATAGTTTTAAAGGGTTTTGTGTGAAATTTGTAAATTGAGTATCTAGATAGATCAAGAAGTGGCATTCGATGGAAATTCGTGAAATCGACTACGCTACTTTTTCTTCTTCGGCGAGCGATTGCTAAAGGAATTGATAATACGGCTGAAAAGATTATATAAAGATAAAGCTATTGATTTAAAGAATTTGCTCTAAACTTTAAGATAAAGTTATTCATTTAAAGAGTCTTCTCTAAACTTTAAGATAAAGCTATTGATTTAAAGAATCATCTCTAAACTTTAGCACATACAATCCACAGTTTTCAGTTAATTAATGAAGAATTCCGATGGCAAGAATGTCATTTGAAAGGTGAAAGTTACTTAAAGTTATTAAGCTTTAAATTTTCCAAGTTCTAAACTTTCTAGAACACTCAAAAAGTCTAACTATGACTCAATATCTGGTCTAAAAGTAAGTCTAGATCTAAAGCTAGAATCTAAAATAGTTGACAAGTTCTATCTGCCTAAAATCAAGCTGATCTAAGCAATCTTAAAAGCAGCTCTTTCAAATCTGATCCAAAATCTCTAAAATCTAAAATCTAAAGTCTAAAATCTGAGCTAGTCACAAGTCCTGGACTTAAAAATTAAAATTAAAAACACTAACAGACTTAAAAAGCTAGCTACTTCTAATTCTTACTCAAAGACTAAAAATTAGAATCCTTATCAGATCTTAGCTAACTGTCGATCATAGATCAAAAGACTTATGAAATCTTCTAATCACCAACTTGCTTGTTCTTCTCGTTCTCTCTCCATCGACATTTGTTCCTCATGCAATTGAGCTCTTCGTTCAGCTAACTGTCGATCATAGTCGATCTCTTCATGTTCTTCATCCGATGGTCCTTCAGTTCCTTCAGATGCACCCTCCGTTTCCCCAGTTCTATCCGAAAACGATCTTTCGAATCTCGCTGAATCGGGTGTCTCAACGAAAAGCGGCGTTTCTTCAGCGTTTCTTTCTGTTTCTTTGGCGACCCCCTCATTAGTGAGCGGCTCTTTTATGGTGGGTGGAGCAAACGTGAGCCCTAATGAGTTCCCCTCGTCGATTGCCTCTTGACTTTCGATATGTCTGGTGATGAGATGCGTGCCTGAAGTAGTAATGGCTTTGATGTCGGCTATGGATTCACTCTCGGTAATTGGCTGTTCCAATGGATAGCTTTCAACCATTGCAGCTCTTCTAATATGCTCAAGTTCAGCTTCGCTTAGCTCAGGTTCTCTATATTGTTGAACCTCTTCAGCTTTAGCTATTCTCTGGATATAATCGAGTTCCTCTTGTGTCAGTTCTGATTCTTTGTATTGTTGAATTGGCACTTCTTCAGCCATGACAGCTATTCTTTGAATGTGATCGAGCTCCTCTTGAGTAAGTTCTGGACTTTTTACTTGTTTTTGTTGGAAACTTGGAATCTCTTCAGCCATTGCGGTGATTCTTCTGATGTGCTCAAGCTCTTCCTCGGTTAGTTCTTGTTCTCGTGGTTTAGCTAGCTCATCGATAGCAGTTATCTTCTGGATATGATCAAGCTCCTCTTGTTTCACCTCAGCTTTGTACCGAGGAAACGATACTTCTTCAGCCATTGCAGCTATTCTTTGAATGTGATCAATCTCCTCTTGTGTTAGCTCGGGTTCTTTGTACTGTTGTGGTACTTCTCCAGCCATGGCAACTATTCTTTGAATGTGATCAATCTCCTCTTGAGTTAGCTCGGGTTCTTTGTACTGTTGTGGTACTTCTCCAGCCATTGCAGCTATTCTTTGAATGTGATCAATCTCTTCTTGAGTTAGCTCGGGTTCTTTGTACTGTTGTGGTACTTCTCCAGCCATTGCAGCTATTCTTTGAATGTGATCAATCTCTTCTTGAGTCAATTCTGGTTCTACACGCTTTGAAACTTGATACTGTTGAGTCGGGAAATCTTCAGCCATTTCACTAATTCTTCTAATATGGTCAAGTTCCTCTTGGGTTAGCTCTGGTTCTCTGTACTGCTGACTCTGTTCTCCGTACGGCACCTCTTCAGCCATAGCAGTGATTCTTTGAATGTGTTCCAGTTCCTTTTGAGTCAGTTCCAGCTGTTTTGGTTCTTGGAAATGTTGAATTGAAACCTCTTCAGCCATTTCAGTAATCCTTCTGATGTGCTCAAGTTCGGCTTCGCTTAGCTCCGGTGCTTTCAGACTTGGAATCGGAGTCTCTTCAGCCATGGCAGCAATTCTTTGAATGTGCTCAAGTTCTTCTCTTGTCAATTCTGGCTCTTTCACCGTCGATTTCAAGTCAACACTTTCAGAAACTCGATCCAATTCCGATTCAGTCTTCACAACAACTTTTGGTTGCTCAAAGAAACCCTTGAACAGCGATGTTCCCTGTTTAGTTTGTTTCACTGTTGAATCAAAGAATGACATCATTCCAAAGCCGGAAGTTTTCCTCGATTGTACCACTGGTTCATTCATCTCCATAGCCGCCATTTCATTGATTTTTCTGATGTGCTCTAATTCTTGCGCGCTCAATTCTTGTCCTAATTCTTCTTGTGCTTTCAAGCTTGACTTTTCATATTCACCAGCCATTGTTGTGATTTTCTGGATTTGCTCAAGTTCATCTGGTTCCATTTTATTTGTTAGAGCCAATCCTTGCAGATTAAGCGGTGAAAAGGCTTCTCCAGCCGATGCAGCCATTTCAGTCACTTTTCGGATATGTTCCAGCTCTTGTTCAGTCAACTCCGAGAAAGTCTCTCTTTGTGGAGTCTCGGTGAGACTTCTTGGAGACGAGGCAACCGGAGATGGGCTCGTTTTCTGGATTTGTGGAACAGCGATTGCAATCATTGGCTTGCTTGGTTCTGGAGCTTTTCCAGTGATCCCCGAGAAGAACGATTTAATACCAATCAATGTTGAGCTTTGTTTTCTCAGTGGTTCCTCTTTCATCTCCGCGATTTCCTTGACCGCCGATGTGCCGGTGCTGATGTCCAATTGTAATTGTTGTCTTGCGGAGTCATCGGATTGTCGTGACGCAGTTTCGGCCCTTTTGATCGCCTCTTCGATGGATTTGATCGAAGTTGTGTAATCCTCATCGGAAAACGATGATTGGGCGCGTCCGGTGGAGGCGGGTTCGGTGAGACCAGATTGAGCGGAGTCGGTTCGACCAGTCATTTGGCGACGAGGCACAGAGATCATCTGAAAACTCGTGGAGATCAAAGATTCAATAACTGATTTAATAGCTGATCTGGTTATCGGACATTTTATATGCCCCGCCCCTTTGCCATTGGCAATCTAACTTTAAACTCAAATTTCTTGGTGTTGGTTTGTTCAATTTGGATTTTCTTGATATCATTAGATGCGCCAAGTCTTTCTCTATTGATTGATTACAAAAACTATTGAAATTGAACAGTCCAACACTAAGATATTTGAGCTTAAAGTTAGATTGCCAATGGCAAAGGGGCGGAGTCGATCTTTTATACGCGCCCCGTCCATTTTGCAATTGCCTAACTTTAAGCTAAAATATCTTGATGTTGGGCTATCCAATTTAAATAGTTTTTGTACCAATCGACAGAGAAAGTCTTGGCCCGTCTAATGATACCAAGAACATTCAAATTGAACAGCTTAACACCAAGAGATTAGAGCTTAAAGTTGGATTGCCAATCGGGCGCGTATCAAATTTCCCACAAGCATTTTAAATTGCTTAAATTTCAGTAATTCGATAGAACTTTTGAATAAGTTTCAATCAAAGGCGACTCTGAAATCTGGCCGAACTTACATATGGCGTTTGCCTTTGTTCGACCTTCTCGAGCACACTCTGGATATGAACTCTTTCCGCGTCGGTGAGATCGCTCATTTCGGGGATCACCGAGTGTCCGATAGCTGATGAGCTTCTGAAATCGTTTGTTTTGAATAAAAATCAAAAAATCTGTCTAATTGTAAGCTAGAGTTTGAAAGAAGTCAGCAAATTGTACCTCCTCGAAGTGGTCGGTGATCCTCTTTGTGCAGCGGCCATCACTTTCATGATGTGCTCTTTTTCTTCTAATGAAAGGCCAACAAGTGCGTGATCGGGAAGCTGAAATATTGGAGATTTATTGTTGATTTATTGTTTATTCCTAAAATGCATTAAATTCTATTCTAACAACATCATTTTTTGGTCAAGAATTGAGTGACATCAAATAACCAACTTAGAAACTGTCAATAGTGTTTATGATCGAGAAAAAGAAGGATAAATCCTTGAATTAAAGTTCAAAACAGGTATTTTATGTTTGAAATTTCAAATTTCTGAGTTTTAAATGGATTTCTGAAGCTCTCGAATCAAATGGAAACGATTCAGCAAAAAAAAAATTCTTATATCAGCTATTGGGTTGGTGAATTGAAAACTGCCGGACTTTGAACTAAAATTTATTCAACATAAAACCATCAATTCATTCCAAATAATTTCCATTATTATTGACGACTTGTGCCCATTTTACAAGCAATTTGCGGATTCGTCTTTCGTAGTAGGATTCTGGTTTTGAATCGAAAAACTTTTCGAGCCAATTTTTGACTGCTTCTTCCGAATCGAAGTGTTCTCCCGCAAGTTCATTACTCATGGTCCGGAATAAATAGTAATCAGAAGGGGCAAGGTCCGGACTGTATGGGGGATGTGCCAAAAGTTCCCAACTAAGGCTGTTTATTTTAGAGCGAGTCAGTTTTGCAACATGAGAGCGCGCGTTGTCGTGGAGGAGAACGATCTTTGACTTGGAGGGCCTATTCTTCTTTACGGATTCCTCTTTCTTGGTAGCATTCTGGTTTGTGTGTGAGACAAGTGTGAGACTCAAAAATCGAGGACTGGAGGTGTCAGCTGTTAGCCCGGTTTGAGCACTTTCTTCAAAAGAAACCCATTTTGGTGTCAATAGAAAAGTTGTAGAGAATCAAAAATTAGGTTTATAGCCAAATTTCCAAAAAGATACACTTAATAGTTTCGCTTAAAATGCAAGTTTTGTTGCAAGTCTTGTGAAAATTCGTAAATTTCGCATTTCTTGAAAACCAGTTTTTGAATCGTTCTGAAAATTTGGATATAAGCTTGATTTTTGATTCTCTACAGCTTTTCTATTGACACCAAAATGGGTTTCTTTTGAAGAAAGTGTGAGAACTGTCACATATGACAATAGCACGCGGTTTTCAATTCACCAATTCAATAAAAACAAAAATAATGTTTCGCCGCAATCGCCGCAAAAGTCCCATGATGTCATCGTTTCTCGAAGCAGCCGATCGATCGATAGCCTTGATTTGCGGAGGGACGTGGTTGTCCAATTTGAGGATTCGGAGCCGGCCAAATGAGTTTGGTCAAAGGCAGAGGGAAGAGATTTAAAAAGGTAAAAGACTATGTAAAAGTCTTGCGCCAGACGACGAGCGATTACGCGGCTGCACAAAGAAGGCACAGAACACAAATTTTAAGCGAAACTACTAAGTTTATCTTTTTGGAAATTTGGATATAAGCTTGATTTTTGATTCTCTACAACTTTTCCATTGTCACCAAAATGGGTTTCTTTTGAAGAAAGTGCTCAAACCGTCACATATGACAAGAGCCCGCAGTTTTCAATTCACCAACCCAATATATTCTTATATCAATCTTTCTTCAATTTTCAATCAATAAAAAGCTTCAGAAAACTTATTAATAAAAGAAAATCTCCATTTCAAAGATTCACTTAGAGATTTTATACAATTTTACCCATTTCCTACCTGTAATGGTGATGAGGTGGATGCTCTGGAGTCAGCGCCGGACGATCGCCGCAAAAGTCCCATGATGTCATCGTTTCTCGAAGCAGCCGATCGATCGATAGAAGTCTGGAACGATCAATTAATGAACTATTTCAATTATCAATGAACTATTGAAGTTGATTGTGAGATTCAATCACCTTTCTACTTTGTCTCCCATCAGTTTTAGATAAAATCGATAAAGCGGAGCGCGGTCTCTCCAAGATGTGACTGGGTTTGCGAGGGCTGAGGAATGAGAAGAGACCGAATGTTGGAACCTGGAAGAAGTTTTGAAGTCTTGAATCTAGGCTTAGTCTAGGTCTAGGTCTAGGTCTAGGTCTAGGCCTAGCTTCAGTTGCTACATTGAGATCGAATTTTAAAGTCAAAATTTCTTTGCGATTACCTCTTCTTCGTTAGCAGCCTCGACCGTAAAGCCGCGGTCTTCTTCTCTGAAAAGAATTGGTTTTCAAAGTGTCGGTATAACGATTTAATATCTCTCAATCCAAAGCTATCCCTCAAATTCAGATTATTCAGATTATCGATTATCCTTCTTGGATAGTCGATCAAAAGTTTCGAGTTGTTTTTGTTACTCATACCTAGCATCCGGTCCTTCACTGGCTTCACTCGAGAACGACGATGATTTGTAGCCTTCTCCAGCATCGTTGAAATATCTGGCTCGTGGATTGCCGAGAGTTCGAATGTGAATTCGGAGATCCCGGCCAGCCACATCAGCTAAAATTTTGGGATTTACATTTTTCAATTGCTTTTAATGGTTCTTTAAGGAATTGCTTTTAATGGTTCTTTAAAGAATGCGAGACTTTAATACCTTACAATTTTTTAGCAGTAAGTAGCTGTACTATAGTAACTGTAGCTGTACTATAGTAGCTGTACTATAGTAGCTGTACTATAGTAGCTGTACTAGCTGTAGCTGTACTATAGTAGCTGTACTATAGTAGCTGTACTAGCTGTAGCTGTAGCTGTACTATAGCAGCTGTAGCTGTAAAAATCTCAACTCATTTCCACCTACCAATCTTCTCGGTCAATCGATTTGCGTAGAAGTTGAGTCGACACAAGAAATCAACATTTGTGAGCAGCGAGAACGAGTCGGTGTACGAGTGCTGTTCACAGAGCTCAAACGCGTTCAATCTCTCGTGCCACTCGTGGCCAATCGCTGCCACACAGGCGATACTTCTTGAGATTCGAATGTTCTCTGGTCGATTCTCCGTGTATGGAGTCACATCACTGAGACTTTTGCAGAAGCGAACCGTCGCAGGAAGGGTTCTTTCATCAACATTGCTCTCGATAAAATCCCGTCCACCACTGCTCTTTCTTGATGCTGCAATCTTTTCTTGATCTTGATCCGTGAAAGCAGCGTCATCCTCCAGTTCTACTTCCAAAACGTCTTCGGGCTAAATTTCGAGTTGATTGCTTTAATATAAACTTAAAGACAGCTGCTATTTAGATAAATTAAGACAAAGACAATTCAGAAAATAGACAAATTGACAAATTTGTCTGAGTCTGACAGTCTGACAGTCTGACAAATTTGCAGTGGTATTCAAAATCTCTTTTTTTTTCTGTTTTACATTGACAATTAGACCAAAATGCTCCAAAATGCCAAAATTTCAAAATATCAACTTAAAAACAGCTATTCAGAGTCATAAATCTATCTAAATCTATCTATCTAAAGCTTTACCTCAAGCGGATACGAAGAATGTGAAGCTCGTAGCGATGAATCTGTATAGATAACTGTAGTCGGCTGTCGCTTCAATTTAGACTCTTCAAATTGTTGATAAGAAAATTCCTCAGGCAACTCTTCTTCAGCAGCTAATTCGTCTTTTTCTGCGTTAAAACCAAATGCACTTGAACCGAAAAACTCCTGTTCATTCGTGACTCTTGTTGGCGTTTTGATGAATTCCAGCGCTGAAATTGTCGTTTGTCTTGGTGGGAAAGATCTGTTTGTAGAAATTCCTTCAATAGATGACCGAATGGTTGTAGATTGTAGCTTTTCACTAAGTTGTTGCACGCTAACAGATGATCTTCGACGCACTTGCGTCCCTGATAAATAATGTTGTTCGATCGATACAGGCTCTTTCGGGGATTCAGCTTGAGTCAAGGTCTCGTCGAGTTTAGAGTACTCCAACTTTGCTTCAGCGATCTTTTGTGCATGAGAAGTAGTTGCATCAAATCCCTCAATCAGTTCATCATCCTGAATCGCTTTTCTTTGTTGTTCAAAGTCGATTGTTGACTGTTCAGCCATTTTCTGGATCCAAGCAATGTGATCTAACTCTTCTTGAGTTAATTGATCACTTGGAATGTTAGCTTCTTCTTGAATCACCGGTTCAAGTTCAGGTGAGAACCTCTCCTCAAGTGGTGCTTCTTCAACTGATGACTGATTGAACTCAGCATCAGCACCAGATGTTGCACTTGAACGTTCTTCAATCGATTCAGTTCTATCACCCCATGATGGCAAATCCTCTGTGAACTCTAACTTTGCATCAAGAATCTTTTGTGCATGTACAATTGTTTCATCAAATCTATCAATCAGTTCATCATCATGAATTGCTTTTCTTTCTTGTTCAAAGTCGATCATTGACTGTTCAGCCATCTTCTGGATCCAAGCAATGTGATCTAGCTCTTCTTGAGTTAATTGATCACTTGAAACATTAGCTTCTTCTTTAATCACAGGTTCAAGTTGGGGTGAGAACCTCTCAAAAAGTGGTGCTTCTTCAACTGATGACTGATCGAATTCAACATCAGCACCGGATGTTGCACCTGAATGTTCTTCAACTGATTCAACACGATCTCCCCAGGAAGGCCATTCATCAATGAATTCCAACTTTGCTTCGATAACATTTTGGGCGTATGAAGTAGTGGCATCAAATCTCTCAATCAGTTCATCATCATGAATTGCTTTCCTTTGTTCTTCAAAGTCGATTGTTGACTGTTCAGCCATCTTTTGGATCCAAGCAATGTGATCAAGCTCTTCTTGGGTCAACTGATCATTTGATAGAACTTCTTCTTCTTCCTTTATCACTGTCTCGAGTTGGGGGGAGAATCTTGCAAATAAAGGTGCCTCTTCAAAAGACGATTGATCAAAGGAACGATTTTCATCAGCCCCCGCGGTTGCGCTTGATCGCTCCTCAAAAGATTCAACTCTATCACCCCATGACGGCAATTCTTCTGTGAACTCCAACTTCACCTCATGAATCTTTTGAGCATGAGAAATTGTTGCATCGAATCTCTCGACAAGCTCGTCATCCAAAATAGCTTTTCTTTGCTGCTCAAAGTCGATTGTTGACTGTTCAGACATCTTTTGAATCCAAGCAATATGGTCGAGTTCTTCTTGAGTGAGCTGGTCACTTGGTTCTTCTTTGATTACTGCCTCAAGTTGAGAAGAGAAACGTTCGTATAGTGGCGCCTCTTCAACTGAAGATTGATCAAATGAGTGTTCAGCATCAGCGCCTGATGTTGCACTTGAAAGTTCTTCAATGGACTCGGCTCTATCACCCCATGACGGCAAATCTTCAGTGAACTCCAATTTTGCTTCAGCAACCTTTTGTACATGAGAAGTATTAGCATCAAATCTCTCAATCAATTCATCATCGAAAATTGCTTTTCTTTCTTGTTCAAAGTCAATCATGGATTGTTCAGCCATCTTTTGCACCCAAGCAATATGGTCTAGCTCTTCTTGAGTCAAATGATTCCTTGGAGCACTAACTTCTTCCTTGAGTAACGTCTCTTCAGATAAATACTCAGCATCAGCAGCGGATGTTGCACTTGATCGCTCACCGGTTGATTCAACACCCCAATCAGGTAACTCTTCAGCGAATTCTAACCTTGCCTCGGCAATTCTCTGTGCCTGCAAAGTGGTAGAATCAAAATCATGAATTGCTTTCCTTTGTTGTTCAAAGTCGACTGTTGATTGTTCAGCCATCTTTTGGATCCAAGCAATGTGATCTAACTCTTCTTGAGTTAACTGATCACTTGGAATGTTAGCTTCTTCTTGAATCACAGGTTCAAGTTGGGGTGAGAACCTCTCATAGAATGGTGCATCTTCAACTGATGACTGATCGAATTCATCAGCACCGGATGTTGCACTTGAACGTTCTTCAACTGATTCAGCACGATCTCCCCAGGAAGGCAAGTTCTCAGTGGATTCCAACCTTGCTTCGAGAACCATTTGTGCATGAGAAGTAGTAGCATCAAATCTCTCAATCAGTTCATCATCATGAATTTCTTTCCTTTGTTGTTCAAAGTCGATTGTTGACTGCTCGGCCATCTTCTGAATCCAAGCAATGTGATCTAACTCTTCTTGAGTCCACTGATCGCTTAGACCGGCAACCTCTTCTTCTTCCTTGATTATCGGTTCAAGTTGAGGAGAGAATCGTTCATAAAGGGGCGCTTCCTCAATGGATGATTCGCTAAATGAGCGATTTTCATCAGCACCCGATGTTTCACTGGATTTTTCAAAGGATTCGGCTTCATCACCGCAAGACGGCAAATCTTCAATGAACTCCAGTTTTGCTGCGAGAACCATTTGTGCATATGAAGTAGTAGAATCAAATCGTTCAATTAGCTTCTCATCGTGAATTGCTTTCCTCTGTTCTTCAAAGTCTATCATTGACTGCTCAGCCATCTTTTGGATCCAAGCAATGTGATCAATTTCTTCTTGAGTCAATTGATCACTTGGAACGGCAACCTCTTCTTCTTTGATCACTGGCTCCAGTTCGGATGAGAATCTCTCATAGAGTGGCGCTTCTTCAATTGATGACTGATCAAAAGAACGATCTTCATCAGCACCAGACGTGCAAGAAGACACACTTTCTGAGCCGATTCGAGAGAATATCGGCATCGAAAATGATGGCTGGATCAATTCAACCTTTTCACTGTAACAAGTCTGAATCATAGTTTCAGATTCAAGATAAGTTTCATGTTGTTGGATCCGAATCGGCTCTGCAATTGACCATATTCCAGCTTTTCCTTTTTCTGATTCTCTCAAGTTGACCTCAATCGTTGCTGACAAAATGTCATCTTGAACTTTTGGTGGCTCGGGACGAGGAGGTGACATTACCTTGAAATCATGTTCAATTTGAGTCAACTGAATACTTTCGAGTTCAGGTGAAAATCTTTCGTGCAGTGGCGCCTCTTCAACGGAAGATTGGTCAAATGAGTGTTCAGCATCAGCGCCTGATGTTGCACTTGAAAGTTTTTCAATGGACTCGGCTCTATCACCCCATGACGGCAAATCTTCGGTAAACTCTAACCTTACTTCAGCAACCTTCAATGCGCATGAAGTAGTTGCATCAAATCTCTCAATTAGTTCATCATCGGGAATCGCTTTCCTTTGTTGTTCAAAGTCGATCATTGACTGTTCAGCCATCTTTTGAATCCAAGCAATATGGTCGAGCTCTTCTTGGGTTAACTCATTACTTTGAACAACCTCAGTCCTTTCCTCATCATCTTTGTCAAATATACGATCTTCATCAGCACCAGATGTTGAACTCAAGTGTTTCTCAATTAATTCAGCTCGATCATCCCAAGACGGCAAATCTTGCGTAAACTCCAACTTTGCTTCGAGAACCATTTGTGCATGTACAATTGTTTCATCAAATCTCTCAATCATTTCATCATCATGAATCGCTTTTCTTTGCTGCTCAAAGTCGATTGTTGACTGTTCAGCCATCTTCTGGATCCAAGCAATGTGATCTAGCTCTTCTTGAGTTAATTGATCACTTGAAACATTAGCTTCTTCTTTAATCACAGGTTCAAGTTCGGGTGAGAACCTCTCAAAAAGTGGTGCATCTTCAACTGATGACTGATCGAATTCATCGGCACCGGATGTTGCACTTGAACGTTCTTCAACTGATTCAGCACGATCTCCCCAGGAAGGCAAGTCCTCAGTGGATTCCAACCTTGCTTCGAGAACCATTTGTGCATGAGAAGTAGTAGCATCAAATCTCTCAATCAGTTCATCATCATGAATTTCTTTCCTTTGTTGTTCAAAGTCGATTGTTGACTGCTCGGCCATCTTCTGAATCCAAGCAATGTGATCTAACTCTTCTTGAGTCAACTGATCACTTGAAACAGCAAGATCATGCTCTTCTTCTTTGATCACCGGCTCGAGTTCGGGAGAGAACCTTTCGTATAATGCCGCCTCCTCAACAGATGATTGGTCAAAAGAGCGGTCGGCGTCAGCGCCGGATGTCGCACTTGATCTTTCAATGGATCCAACTCTATCACCCCATGACGGTAAATCTTCTGAGAACTCCAGCTTTGCCTCAACAACTTTTTGCGCGTGGGAAACGGTTGCATCAAGTTTCTCAATCAATTCATTGCCAAAGACTGCTTTCTGTTGCTGTTCAAAATCAAGAGTGGATTGCTGAGCCATCTTCTCAATCCAAGCAATGTGGTCGAGTTCTTCCTGAGTCAACTGATCACTAGGAGCATGTTCTCTGAACATTGGCTCTAGTTCAATTGTTGCACTGGACTTTTCTATCGATTCTGATTCCTCGTCTCTCATCGGTAAGATTTGAACTGTTTCTAGCTGTGCCTGAATTAATAACTGAGCGTGAACAGTGATGGGATCAAATTTGTCAAGAAGTTGATCATCAAATATTGCTTTTCTTTGTTGTTCGAAGTTTATAGTTGACTGTTGTGCTTTTTTCAGAATTGCGGCAATGTGATCAAGTTCTTCTTGAGTCAACTGGTCACTTGGAGCAGCAACTTCTTCTTTAATCTCGAGTTGCGGAGAGAACCGTTGATAAAGTGGCACCTCCTCAACCGAGGATTGATCGAACGAGTGTTCAGCATCAGCGCCGGATGTTGCACTTGATCGCGCCTCAAATGATACAGCTCGATAACCCCATGTCGGCAAATTTTCGGTAAACTCCAATTTTGCTTCTAGAACCTCTTTACCATGAGAAGTGGCTGCATCAAATCTCTCAATCAGTTCATCATCGGGAATCGCGTTCCTTTGTTGGTCAAAGTCGAACGTGGATTGTTCAGCCATTTTCTGAATCCAAGCAATGTGATCTAGCTCTTCCTGAGTCAACTGG